TATATATATATATATGTATGTATGTATATGTATGTATGTATATATATAAATAAATCAGGTTTCAAGACTTGAGCATGAGATGTGGGACTTCTCAACACGTATCACTAACCTTTTGTTCACTTGAATGGATTTGGGGGAGAGTGATTGAGTGGATTTGGAGATAAATTTTGTTGTTGTTTATTTCAGTGAATTTGGAGGTAAGTGAGAGTGAATTTGGAAGCAACGTTTGTGAGAATTAGTGTAGGATTTGATTGATGTGACAAATTAAAAAAATTTACTTCCAAATTCACTCTCACTTACCTCCAAATTCACTGAAATAAACAACAAAAAAATTTATCTTCAAATCCTCTCAAATTTATTCAATCACTCTCCTCCAAATCCATTCAAGTGAACAAAGCTTAAAAGAGATTTTTGAATGAGTAGAAGGGAGAAGAACATCAATATGATTTAATTAATAGTAACAAGAAACTAAAATGAACAAACCTCAACTTCATTTCCTTGCTTTTAATAGCTAATTGATGTCCCAATTCACTTCTTAACTGTGAAAGAGTAGTATCTGCATTGACAGCCTACAAAATACAAATGATTGAAAATAACAAGATTCTGGTTAGTTCTCTCCTAATCAAGAGAGGTGTAGAAAACACAACTAAGGCTCAATATAAGTATTAAAAATTAGCACCAATTCATTAGTAACCAAAAACTGCAAATGGATGGTTTAAAGAAATTTAACTGCAAAACCAAGGAATAGAGTGGAAGTAGAGGAATAAATAGTGAGATCTCAAAAGAAGGAAACATCAATCGTACCAGGCAATGACCAAATGCACCATTCCCGAGGGCAATTTCATATGACTTGCTGAGACAATCATCAATTAATTTTTGCTTCAGTGATAAGCTTAGCATACCTCTACTAATGATAGTATTCGAGTCTAGTGAAAGCAACTGCCATTATATACAAAATTGTCAGTTATTTCAACTATTTATACAAATGACTTATCACTCTATCTTGGTGGCAACATATAAATACGAAAACATAGAACTATCACTCTTAATGAGGCAGGGAAAATTAAGCAGAATAACGTAGAATCACCACAATGATCTCATGTGCAAATTTACAGGACAAAACAAAGGAGTAAAAGAACATCTTCATGCACTTAGCAACTCCTCAATGTGCTTGTTCAAATTAGAGAACACAGACTCAAATATTCAAAGTCTAATGATAAACCAGAAAAGTTTAGAAAACAATGCAAGACTCAGAAATCTGATTACCTGGTCAAACAACGAAGGATTTTTCCTGGCATCAAATTCAATGTTCAAATCCTTCAAACCACTGCTGAAAGCTTTGCTGTTCTGGAGTCTCCACCTCCAGAGGTCCCCATCTTCAACATACAGAAAAAGTTGCCTGGCACGCTCAAATTCATCAAGCACTGAGGAGTGTTTTACTGCAATATCAGGACTCAAAAGCTTATCTTTGAAGTAATCAAATGCAATAGTAGCCCCACTCCTCTCCATGTCAATAACCTTAACCACATTCTCACCAAGTGAATCATCATTCCCCAACCTCTCAAGGGCAGTCTTGTGATGGTCCAAAACAATCACCCTACACCCAAGAAAAAACTCAATCGTATTATACTTACAAAGATAACTCGAACCTATTCTACGGACAAAAATACAAAAAATTTAAAAACTGCATCTTTTACAAGAAAAACAGAAAACAAAGCAAAGAACCTTTGAACTTTGGTAGAGACTTCCTCAATAAAACCATCCGGCCCCACAAAATCTAGGAGGTAAAGATCACCGATTTCATTCAGAGGAAGATCTTGAACCCTGAAAATTTCAATCAAAACAAAAAAATACATGCACATAAATTAAAAGGAATAGCAATAGCATAAACGGCAGAACAATGATTGGTAGCAGAATGAATACAAATACTGATACTGCTGAATGAGGCAAAAACCTGATGGGGTTGTAAACAGTGTTGGTAAAGAAAAGAGGGGAGAATAAGGAAGTGGCCTTGAAGTAAAGGTGTGCAGCAAGGGCAGCAAAAGCACCATCAGGACAAGGGTAGTGGTAGAGTACTGCAGGTGAACACTGATCGTTAGCCTTCTTCTTCAAACCCATGGTTATGGCATTGGAGATGTTGTGCAGTTTGGGTTGCGACATCATCATTGTGCAAGTTCTGTTCTTTTAAATGTAACATCATTGAATCATGTCTTTTGAGTCAGGGCAAGCTGTCACAGTTTGAGATTTTAACCGCACAAGAAGCAGTTATTATCCAATCATGGCTGTTGTTTAACTTAGATTTTGAAATTAAGTGTTTGATAAAATTGAGGTATTTTTATGGCCAGGATTGTCTGCAGTGTATGTATATTTATTGAACCTTTATATTTATTGATTACAATATATTCAAGGACGTTGATAAGATAAATTCAGTTAAATTTAATAAGATAGATAAATTCAGTTAAATTTAATAAGATAGATAAATTCAGTTAAATTTAATAAGATAAATAAATTCAGATAGGTTTAATTTAAGAGGGCACAAAGATAGGGAAAGAGATAGAATTATATAAATTACTATTATTTAGATAAATTTTATTTCGAGAAGATATTTTTAGATTTCTTTTTTATTTTTCATTTCTCACTCTATCAATTACAAATAAATATTAAATCATTATTTTGTAATACGGAAATTAAGGTTAATTTTGACTTAGACATTGAGAGGCGCAAAGTAAGTTTTATTACAGACTGGAAAAATAATTGGGAAATTACTACGTTTTAGTAATATATTCTGTAAATTTAATTAATAATTGATTGAGTTTTATCATAATATTTTTAAAAGTTATATGTACGATAATTTTTATTGTTATTAGGGTTAAAATATTTACGTCTGTAGTGTTTAAAAAGTTAACTATTTATTGTTAATATTAAGTAAAATGAGTATTATAAAATTTGTATTATTTCAATTCTTTTAAAGTTTAAAATATATTTTAAATTCTTATTGGTAATAATGATCGAGCAAGAGCTGACAATGAGTGAATTGTAAAACTAAAAATAATTTTAATTATAGGTATAATTAGCATTACATTAAAACCTCCTTTTTCATTTTTATTATAGAAAATTAAGTTAATTAAAAATAATAATTTAAACTAAATAGATAGTAATTTAAAATATTAAAATAGAAAAATAATTATTTAATTTAAAAATAATTAAATTTAAATTAACAATCATTTAAAAATAATAATTTAAATTAAATACATAGTAATTTAAAAGATTAAAATAGAAAATTAATTATTTTAATTTAAAAATAATTAAATTTAAATTAACAATCATTTAAATGGTAAAGATATAAATATATTTCAACAAGGTGATCAGCTAAATTCGGTTAAATTTAAGTAAAATAAATAAATTTAGTCAGATTTAACTTAAGAGACACTAGAATGGAAAAGAGATATACAGTTATATAAATTATTATTATTTGGTGATATATTTTATTCCCAAAAGATATGTTTTAGATTTCTTTTAATTTTTCACTTTAACTCCATTAATTACAAATAAAAATTAAAATTAAAAGTCTTGTTTTTTAATATGGAAATTAAAGTTAATTTTGACTTAAACATTGAGAAGCACAAAGTAAGTTTTATTTATTTATTTTTTCAGGTCATTACTAAATGGAAAAATAATTGAAAAATTACTACGTTTTAGTAATATGTTCTGTAAATTTAATTAACAATTTATTGAGTTTCATCATAACGTTTTAAAAGTTATATGTAAGATATTTTTATTGTTACCCTAATCATTTGATATATTTCAACTTAAATAGAAATTTAGAATATTGTTTAATATGTAATAAAAATTTAATATTATTGAGTTAAAAAATATATTAATTCAATTTTTAAAGTTTAACACCAAAATATATATATATATATATATATATATATATATATATATATAATTAGAATAGGGAAGAAGTTTAATTTGTTTCAAAGTTTACAAACTAAAACTGCATTTAACCGTTTTAAAAACTATGGGATTAAGTTAGTAATTACGGCGGTGCAGGTAGTAAAAGCTCACGCATAAACTTTCCGGGTCAAAACCTGGTTTGGTCCAGCCCATATAAACTACAACATTTGTTTAGCATTGCTGAGGAAACAGTTGCAATGGCAAACATGGTCTTTGTTGGTGTTAAGGTTGCTGCTGTTTCTCTACCACCATTACCCATTACAAACAAAGCTCTAACTTTTAGTTTCACCCAGAAGAGACACTTCCTTCTCCTGAATTGCTCCCGAACCAATAACAGAACATTGTCTTTCTCTTCTTCCTTCTCAATTTCATCATCTCCCCTCACAAACAAGGGTGGTTGTTCTGTGTTGGCTTGTCTCCCTCCTGCTTCGTCTGAATCCTCAACCTCATCATCTTCCACTGCTAAACCCTCTTCCACTTTCCCTTCAACTAAGCTTTATGTCAGTGGTTAGCTACTCTTACTCTTCTCCCTTTTCTCACACTTCTGTTTTTCTTATCCAAATTTATGTACGAGTGATAAGTTTTCAGCTTTTTCTTTTTTACTTTTTTGGGTCTCCCTCCTGTTGGGTGCTTGTGTTGATGAACAACAGCAGTTTTATCTGTTGTTACTAGTGGAAACTTTGATTGAAAAAGGGTCTTACTTTACTTTTTTAGTGAGAGTTAGGTTCATTATGGAGAATGCTTCCCTCATTTCACTGAAAAACGATGGTTTTATTACATGTGAATTTTAGCATTGGAAGCATCCAGAATCTTGTCTAGTGTTGCAATGGTGGTGCCATCATTGTTTAACCGTATATGATATTAGGAGCAAAAGGGATAGTGCTACGGATTTGATCTGCGAAAGAATGACTGTCGATGGCATTTTTTGTTAGTACTATTGTGGATTTGACTTTGAGCATAAATGTTTTGCTATGCAGAAGAGTTTGATGCAATAGTGGAAGAAAGAAGGTGACCAATATCTCTAGCTTCAATTCAGTGTCCACACCTTATTGTTTAACTTTTATGGATAAAGAAAGAGGAATGATGTTAAGAGACAATTTATATGAATTCTTCTGCTAGAATAATGTTTTTAGTTTCAACTGTTAACTGATCTACGTGTCTATTTAATTATGTTTAGTTCTTTGTACAAATTTTTAAAATGCGGTTACTGTCTAGCAAATATGCTTTTTTCATCTTGTAACCAACATTAAGCTAGGCATTTTGTTGAAACCTTTTTGCAAACTGTGTAACCATTCATCTGTGTAGGGCACCTTGATGTGCCTTATATACTAGCTATGATTGCTCTTGATTCAATGGTCATTTGCCATATGTTGTTGCTAAAGTCTACAGATTGTATCCCTTACTTCTTACGCATATTAGGATGAATTCTTGCTATTTGTTATGAATTTCTTGGATATTTGATTTTATGTCAATTTTGGACAACAACTTTATTTCTTGTTCTTTTCAGGGTTATCATTTCGTACCACTGAAGAAAGTTTGCGAAATGCTTTTAAGAATTTTGGTCAACTCGTGGAAGGTAGGAAAATGATGATATTTTCCTCTTTGTCAATTATGTTTTTTGACTAAAATTTAGGGTGTAGTATCTGTTAGTGATTTGCCAGTTCTTATCAATTTGTTGGTAACACTTTCTACTTCTAAAATATTTGCTTAACTTTACAACAGTCAAGCTGGTGATGGATAGAATTGCAAATAGACCAAGAGGGTTTGCTTTTCTTCGTTACGCAACTGAAGAAGAATCTCAGAAGGCTATTGAGGGAATGCATGGAAAGGTATGATGCCATTTGGTTTATTGCTGTTGTTAAATTGTTGTCATGTTCTGCGTTAATTCATTGAATAAATTCTATAATGCCTCCAAGGCTTATCTTGGCCACAGCGGTGGATTTTAAATTTTTTTAAAGTGAATGAATTAGAATATAACCATGATTGCATTTATGTAGCAAACTAATCTAGAAACTAGATTGAGCTCTCCTAGTGAGAACAGAGTCAAAGCAGCAATATTTATGAAGCATCTTATTGTTTAAGTGTGAAGATTTGTAACAGATTTTTAACTCGGAAAACTCAAGATACTATCCACTGAAACTGTCAAAGGATCACTAGAAAACCAAATCCTTTAAACCAGCACTGGAACTGTTGTGCTCCCTTTGATTGTGGCTCTAAATTGTTGTATTATCTTGAATGTCAGTTATTCATTATTTCCCTATTTGCTATCTTTAATTAACAGAAAAAAGTTTTAAACTTTGCTGGATACTGACAAGAAAGAAACCACTTTTTCAGTTTTTGGATGGTAGGGTCATATTTGTGGAAGTTGCCAAACCGAGATCAGAGCTACCGCAGCGGAACAGGCAAGGCACAAGATTGTTGTAATACGAAGAACCAAAGTTTGTTCATTTTGGTGTGCAATAAGAACTATTGCTGCAGTGTACTTGACACTTTATATAAAAATACTCTGATCATGAAACTTTGTTGGCTCCCTCCTACCTCCCCAACTGAGGCTGCAGTGGAACTCATTTATAAACCAACTGTCATTTCATTACCGGGCTCTATATTATCAGAATTGATTAGTAATGAATTTTGATCATTATTATATAATGCACGATGAAGTTATAAAACATGTTGGCTTCTGTTTTAAGTATTGGCTCTAACACTTGACAATAGTACTGAATTGATTGAAATATTATCAGTTTTTCGATCAAATTAGCGAGTGGATAACATGTATGGATGTGAACTACTTGACTATTGTCAGACCAGTCACTCTAGCAATCAAGCTTAAAAGAGGGAACAAGTTAAGAACTGTAAATTCAACAATGAAGAAACAATGTTTATAATCTGTGACTAAAAAGAATGATACATTAAGAAAATCCGAAATACATGACTCTCTCAAAGCTTAATACATAGACACAATATGCTTTCCAGAGGCAATCCTTTTGTCAGAAGAAATAATATGATGTTCAATGACCTGCGATGCTTGTCCAAGCTTCCCTGGTACACCCTCGTCACTGATGTGTGTCACTGATATGTGTAACATGCAACTAGAAAGACATGCAAATAGTAGGAATAAAACTAACTTACAGACTTGCTGCTATGTGTCTATTTGGTTAAAGTAACTGTAACACGATACAAACCAGAACAAATAATGCCACCAGCCCCCGCATGAATTATTGGACATGAAATGTTTTCACGTGGAAGAAGAAAGTTGTTGGAAAAAAGAATTGGAAATCAGATGCTTGTCAATTAGACAATTAGATCACAGCTACCTAAATCGGGTCCTTATTTCTCAGTTTTTTTTTTCCTCTAATACCATGATTATGAATCTTCTAAAAATGGAATGGAAGGCTATGAGCACACACGAGCTCGTTGCCCGTCCCTCTCTTCCAAGGCCGCAATTAAAGAAGTTCCATCTCTTTCGGCCAAACATCTTTTATATGGAACAAACCCTCTTGCAGGCTTCTGGGGTGCAGCTCCTTCCCCTTCATATTTTTCACACTTAGAATCAACAGCATCTGAGTTCTTGCCTTGGTTTTCCATGTCACAAACTGATTCTGTGTTGGAACCAGTACAACAACTTTCCTCCTCTCTTGCTCTTACTTTCAAAGAGGGCCTAAGAGGCATGTGATTTAGGATCTGATTGCATGGGCTTACACAGAAAGCTGGGAGGCCTTGGTACAAACTCCACTGTGGAAAAGATGCATCAGGTACACATTCACTGAGGCACACGTTCTCCTTCGGTGGCTCTTCGCTGCGATCAGCTCCATCAGAATCAGGTGTTATGGACCAGTTGCCACCAACCAAGCCTAGTGATAATTGTGTATCTACTTGCTCAGTTGATTGGCCAGGCTTCTCATTCCCAGCATCATCCACTTCATCAGACTTAACAGTTATTATTGCCTTACCGTTGTCATCTATGTTCTGCGGCTTCTGATTGTCTACCATAGATACCGTTCTTCCAAAAAGCTTAATACTAGTGGTTTGTGGCATATTGGCCGAATCATCTATACCATATTCAGTTTCCTTGGAACTAAATTCGGGCTTCTGCAGCAACACCGGAGAATTTGAAAGTTAGTTAAACCTAGACAACAATAGTTGGACAAGCTTATCCAAAAAGAACTTTTAGGAGAAAAAATTATAAAGGAAAAAGATTAAATTAATTTTCTATAAGTCATGATTAACTTACGCACTTTGAAAAACTATATGGGAGAATTTCTGTAATTTACCTTATACATAAACTAATTTTAATTTCTTGAGAAGTCAATTTTTTTTCTTGTTATCTTTCTCTGTTAAAGTTCTTCTAGGATAGCTCGCCTTTCAAAAGATTAATCATAGAAATCAAGAAGCTTATGATACCATGCACATGTTTGGGTCAGAAACAATGGATAAAGGAACTGAAGCTGGAGATCCTTTTTCTTCCTCCTCAGATGCTTTGGATGTCATACAATCATTTTCCTTTTCAACAGGTGACAAGCTGACGGAGTGAATATCAGTTGTGCAAGAGTTTGGCGAAAGGCATCTGTTATTCTGCTCTGAAAATGCAGACCCAAATGCTTCCGAACCAACCGTAGATAGCACAGAGGTCGGAGATGGGGTGTCTTTCTCTGCAACCAACAGGTTTGTGGATTGAGATGTTTCAGTTTCATTTGGTATGGCATGTCCTCTGAAAGCATCAACTGATTTTCGAGGATATGGGTGGAGGGGTTTTCTCTTAGGCCGAGGAGGAGGTATGTTAATTGGCTGTATAGAACTCTCAGCACTTCCCTCAGATTCCCTAACAACCTGAAACCAAGTAGAGTGTGATGCTTGAGAACACAGAAGTGAACAAATTCATCTAACTTCAAATGCTATTAAATTGAAAATGATCAAATTACTTTAGCTTATAATAGCCTACATGCTCCCAGTAGAAATTATTTGCTGAAGTTTTAAACAAATAATAATATTAACCTTAGAGAAAAACTTTTGAGCATGGCTTCGAATCTGAACAGCTGTTTTGGTACCTATATGCTCTGCATGAAGAGAAAATGATTTTCATCTGACATGAAGACAAATGAAAAAAGGAAAATTTCAGATTAATAACTCAGGACAAAGAATTTACCTTCAATTTGGCGCCACCCTCGACCGTACAATTTCAAAGCTTCAAGGAACTTTTGATGCTCTTCCTCTGTCCACTTCTCCCTTTGTTTAGTAATGGTATATGGTTTCCTCACCTGATGAACATTGAAATAAGTTTTAGATATCAAAACTAAAAGTGGAACAAAAAGGTCATTAAAAGGAATACTTTAACATGTAAAGTGAAGCAACCTTGGGAGCATGGCCGTTTCCGACAGAAGGTACATGAGCAACATTTTCAGATTGTTTTCCAGCATTTGAATGGCAGTTACTAGCTGAGCCTGATATGGTTGATCTTGTGTTTTCTATTTGATCCTACATTAGTAGTAGTTGATGAATCAATAACTTTCCTCCAATGAAAGGATAATGGAAATAAAGGAAAAGAAAGATAGGCAATCTCATCAGGAAAGAAAATGATGCTAACTAGAATATATTTCAGTTCCTTTTAAGAAATAAAGTCACTGGATGAATTCATAATGAAATTCTCTTTCTTCCTAATATAAGAGGACAAAAGTCTCCACAAGATTGAATGCAAGACGATTGAGACCAGCTTCCAATTAAGCAACAGCACATCATATAGAGTCTAAAAGAGCTGATTTGGCATCTCTTCCAAACACATGCTAACCAATTCAACTATACTCAAACCAAACCAAAAATTCATTTACATTCTAGTAAAAACACTGTCAATAATGTCATATGAAAAAGAATCAGCTGAAGCCATTTTGGTCCCTTCTATGAAATTCCTGTCCAAAACTTCTAGGGGAATGGAGGATTTAAATTATCTTTCAAAACTGCAACAGCATAACATTGGCTGCATTTGTCTGCATTTACTCAACCCATCAAGGTTCTATAGTCTTTCTTTTATTACGACTTCAACTTAAAACCTGTAATACATGCATGGGATGTGAAATTCTTCAAAAATTAAATGTACGGGTTCATTAATATCCGTTTTAAAACAATAAAAATAATTGAACTGGCATAAATAGAAGAAAATATTTATCAATAGTTGGGAAACATTTACAATATAAGGAATTAATAATTTCACATCTCTAAAGGATGAATGGATCTGATTTAGTAAAGAGAAACAGAAACGGATAAACTGATTAAAACGGTAAAAAATTCCTAAACTAGAACTGAAAAACTATCAACTTAACAAAAAATGATCTAGTTAGTACATAAGACATACCAAGCCAGACCAACTTGAAATAGATTCTTGTCCCAGTCACATATCTAGTTCTTTTTANTATATATATATATATAATTAGAATAGGGAAGAAGTTTAATTTGTTTCAAAGTTTACAAACTAAAACTGCATTTAACCGTTTTAAAAACTATGGGATTAAGTTAGTAATTACGGCGGTGCAGGTAGTAAAAGCTCACGCATAAACTTTCCGGGTCAAAACCTGGTTTGGTCCAGCCCATATAAACTACAACATTTGTTTAGCATTGCTGAGGAAACAGTTGCAATGGCAAACATGGTCTTTGTTGGTGTTAAGGTTGCTGCTGTTTCTCTACCACCATTACCCATTACAAACAAAGCTCTAACTTTTAGTTTCACCCAGAAGAGACACTTCCTTCTCCTGAATTGCTCCCGAACCAATAACAGAACATTGTCTTTCTCTTCTTCCTTCTCAATTTCATCATCTCCCCTCACAAACAAGGGTGGTTGTTCTGTGTTGGCTTGTCTCCCTCCTGCTTCGTCTGAATCCTCAACCTCATCATCTTCCACTGCTAAACCCTCTTCCACTTTCCCTTCAACTAAGCTTTATGTCAGTGGTTAGCTACTCTTACTCTTCTCCCTTTTCTCACACTTCTGTTTTTCTTATCCAAATTTATGTACGAGTGATAAGTTTTCAGCTTTTTCTTTTTTACTTTTTTGGGTCTCCCTCCTGTTGGGTGCTTGTGTTGATGAACAACAGCAGTTTTATCTGTTGTTACTAGTGGAAACTTTGATTGAAAAAGGGTCTTACTTTACTTTTTTAGTGAGAGTTAGGTTCATTATGGAGAATGCTTCCCTCATTTCACTGAAAAACGATGGTTTTATTACATGTGAATTTTAGCATTGGAAGCATCCAGAATCTTGTCTAGTGTTGCAATGGTGGTGCCATCATTGTTTAACCGTATATGATATTAGGAGCAAAAGGGATAGTGCTACGGATTTGATCTGCGAAAGAATGACTGTCGATGGCATTTTTTGTTAGTACTATTGTGGATTTGACTTTGAGCATAAATGTTTTGCTATGCAGAAGAGTTTGATGCAATAGTGGAAGAAAGAAGGTGACCAATATCTCTAGCTTCAATTCAGTGTCCACACCTTATTGTTTAACTTTTATGGATAAAGAAAGAGGAATGATGTTAAGAGACAATTTATATGAATTCTTCTGCTAGAATAATGTTTTTAGTTTCAACTGTTAACTGATCTACGTGTCTATTTAATTATGTTTAGTTCTTTGTACAAATTTTTAAAATGCGGTTACTGTCTAGCAAATATGCTTTTTTCATCTTGTAACCAACATTAAGCTAGGCATTTTGTTGAAACCTTTTTGCAAACTGTGTAACCATTCATCTGTGTAGGGCACCTTGATGTGCCTTATATACTAGCTATGATTGCTCTTGATTCAATGGTCATTTGCCATATGTTGTTGCTAAAGTCTACAGATTGTATCCCTTACTTCTTACGCATATTAGGATGAATTCTTGCTATTTGTTATGAATTTCTTGGATATTTGATTTTATGTCAATTTTGGACAACAACTTTATTTCTTGTTCTTTTCAGGGTTATCATTTCGTACCACTGAAGAAAGTTTGCGAAATGCTTTTAAGAATTTTGGTCAACTCGTGGAAGGTAGGAAAATGATGATATTTTCCTCTTTGTCAATTATGTTTTTTGACTAAAATTTAGGGTGTAGTATCTGTTAGTGATTTGCCAGTTCTTATCAATTTGTTGGTAACACTTTCTACTTCTAAAATATTTGCTTAACTTTACAACAGTCAAGCTGGTGATGGATAGAATTGCAAATAGACCAAGAGGGTTTGCTTTTCTTCGTTACGCAACTGAAGAAGAATCTCAGAAGGCTATTGAGGGAATGCATGGAAAGGTATGATGCCATTTGGTTTATTGCTGTTGTTAAATTGTTGTCATGTTCTGCGTTAATTCATTGAATAAATTCTATTATGCCTCCAAGGCTTATCTTGGCCACAGCGGTGGATTTTAAATTTTTTTAAAGTGAATGAATTAGAATATAACCATGATTGCATTTATGTAGCAAACTAATCTAGAAACTAGATTGAGCTCTCCTAGTGAGAACAGAGTCAAAGCAGCAATATTTATGAAGCATCTTATTGTTTAAGTGTGAAGATTTGTAACAGATTTTTAACTCGGAAAACTCAAGATACTATCCACTGAAACTGTCAAAGGATCACTAGAAAACCAAATCCTTTAAACCAGCACTGGAACTGTTGTGCTCCCTTTGATTGTGGCTCTAAATTGTTGTATTATCTTGAATGTCAGTTATTCATTATTTCCCTATTTGCTATCTTTAATTAACAGAAAAAAGTTTTAAACTTTGCTGGATACTGACAAGAAAGAAACCACTTTTTCAGTTTTTGGATGGTAGGGTCATATTTGTGGAAGTTGCCAAACCGAGATCAGAGCTACCGCAGCGGAACAGGCAAGGCACAAGATTGTTGTAATACGAAGAACCAAAGTTTGTTCATTTTGGTGTGCAATAAGAACTATTGCTGCAGTGTACTTGACACTTTATATAAAAATACTCTGATCATGAAACTTTGTTGGCTCCCTCCTACCTCCCCAACTGAGGCTGCAGTGGAACTCATTTATAAACCAACTGTCATTTCATTACCGGGCTCTATATTATCAGAATTGATTAGTAATGAATTTTGATCATTATTATATAATGCACGATGAAGTTATAAAACATGTTGGCTTCTGTTTTAAGTATTGGCTCTAACACTTGACAATAGTACTGAATTGATTGAAATCAGTTTTTCGATCAAATTAGCGAGTGGATAACATGTATGGATGTGAACTACTTGACTATTGTCAGACCAGTCACTCTAGCAATCAAGCTTAAAAGAGGGAACAAGTTAAGAACTGTAAATTCAACAATGAAGAAACAATGTTTATAATCTGTGACTAAAAAGAATGATACATTAAGAAAATCCGAAATACATGACTCTCTCAAAGCTTAATACATAGACACAATATGCTTTCCAGAGGCAATCCTTTTGTCAGAAGAAATAATATGATGTTCATTGACCTGCGATGCTTGTCCAAGCTTCCCTGGTACACCCTCGTCACTGATGTGTGTCACTGATATGTGTAACATGCAACTAGAAAGACATGCAAATAGTAGTAATAAAACTAACTTACAGACTTGCTGCTATGTGTCTATTTGGTTAAAGTAACTGTAACACGATACAAACCAGAACAAATAATGCCACCAGCCCCCGCATGAATTATTGGACATGAAATGTTTTCACGTGGAAGAAGAAATTTGTTGGAAAAAAGAATTGGAAATCAGATGCTTGTCAATTAGACAATTAGATCACAGCTACCTAAATCTGGTCCTTATTTCTCAGTTTTTTTTTTCCTCTAATACCATGATTATGAATCTTCTAAAAATGGAATGGAAGGCTATGAGCACACACGAGCTCGTTGCCCGTCCCTCTCTTCCAAGGCCGCAATTAAAGAAGTTCCATCTCTTTCGGCCAAACATCTTTTATATGGAACAAACCCTCTTGCAGGCTTCTGGGGTGCAGCTCCTTCCCCTTCATATTTTTCACACTTAGAATCAACAGCATCTGAGTTCTTGCCTTGGTTTTCCATGTCACAAACTGATTCTGTGTTGGAACCAGTACAACAACTTTCCTCCTCTCTTGCTCTTACTTTCAAAGAGGGCCTAAGAGGCATGTGATTTAGGATCTGATTGCATGGGCTTACACAGAAAGCTGGGAGGCCTTGGTACAAACTCCACTGTGGAAAAGATGCATCTGGTACACATTCACTGAGGCACACGTTCTCCTTCGGTGGCTCTTCGCTGCGATCAGCTCCATCAGAATCAGGTGTTATGGACCAGTTGCCACCAACCAAGCCTAGTGATAATTGTGTATCTACTTGCTCTGTTGATTGGCCAGGCTTCTCATTCCCAGCATCATCCACTTCATCAGACTTAACAGTTATTATTGCCTTACCGTTGTCATCTATGTTCTGCGGCTTCTGATTGTCTACCATAGATACCGTTCTTCCAAAAAGCTTAATACTAGTGGTTTGTGGCATATTGGCCGAATCATCTATACCATATTCAGTTTCCTTGGAACTAAATTCGGGCTTCTGCAGCAACACCGGAGAATTTGAAAGTTAGTTAAACCTAGACAACAATAGTTGGACAAGCTTATCCAAAAAGAACTTTTAGGAGAAAAAATTATAAAGGAAAAAGATTAAATTAATTTTCTATAAGTCATGATTAACTTACGCACTTTGAAAAACTATATGGGAGAATTTCTGTAATTTACCTTATACATAAACTAATTTTAATTTCTTGAGAAGTCAATTTTTTTTCTTGTTATCTTTCTCTGTTAAAGTTCTTCTAGGATAGCTCGCCTTTCAAAAGATTAATCATAGAAATCAAGAAGCTTATGATACCATGCACATGTTTGGGTCAGAAACAATGGATAAAGGAACTGAAGCTGGAGATCCTTTTTCTTCCTCCTCAGATGCTTTGGATGTCATACAATCATTTTCCTTTTCAACAGGTGACAAGCTGACGGAGTGAATATCAGTTGTGCAAGAGTTTGGCGAAAGGCATCTGTTATTCTGCTCTGAAAATGCAGACCCAAATGCTTCCGAACCAACCGTAGATAGCACAGAGGTCGGAGATGGGGTGTCTTTCTCTGCAACCAACAGGTTTGTGGATTGAGATGTTTCAGTTTCATTTGGTATGGCATGTCCTCTGAAAGCATCAACTGATTTTCGAGGATATGGGTGGAGGGGTTTTCTCTTAGGCCGAGGAGGAGGTATGTTAATTGGCTGTATAGAACTCTCAGCACTTCCCTCAGATTCCCTAACAACCTGAAACCAAGTAGAGTGTGATGCTTGAGAACACAGAAGTGAACAAATTCATCTAACTTCAAATGCTATTAAATTGAAAATGATCAAATTACTTTAGCTTATAATAGCCTACATGCTCCCAGTAGAAATTATTTGCTGAAGTTTTAAACAAATAATAATATTAACCTTAGAGAAAAACTTTTGAGCATGGCTTCGAATCTGAACAGCTGTTTTGGTACCTATATGCTCTGCATGAAGAGAAAATGATTTTCATCTGACATGAAGACAAATGAAAAAAGGAAAATTTCAGATTAATAACTCAGGACAAAGAATTTACCTTCAATTTGGCGCCACCCTCGACCGTACAATTTCAAAGCTTCAAGGAACTTTTGATGCTCTTCCTCTGTCCACTTCTCCCTTTGTTTAGTAATGGTATATGGTTTCCTCACCTGATGAACATTGAAATAAGTTTTAGATATCAAAACTAAAAGTGGAACAAAAAGGTCATTAAAAGGAATACTTTAACATGTAAAGTGAAGCAACCTTGGGAGCATGGCCGTTTCCGACAGAAGGTACATGAGCAACATTTTCAGATTGTTTTCCAGCATTTGAATGGCAGTTACTAGCTGAGCCTGATATGGTTGATCTTGTGTTTTCTATTTGATCCTACATTAGTAGTAGTTGATGAATCAATAACTTTCCTCCAATGAAAGGATAATGGAAATAAAGGAAAAGAAAGATAGGCAATCTCATCAGGAAAGAAAATGATGCTAACTAGAATATATTTCAGTTCCTTTTAAGAAATAAAGTCACTGGATGAATTCATAATGAAATTCTCTTTCTTCCTAATATAAGAGGACAAAAGTCTCCACAAGATTGAATGCAAGACGATTGAGACCAGCTTCCAATTAAGCAACAGCACATCATATAGAGTCTAAAAGAGCTGATTTGGCATCTCTTCCAAACACATGCTAACCAATTCAACTATACTCAAACCAAACCAAAAATTCATTTACATTCTAGTAAAAACACTGTCAATAATGTCATATGAAAAAGAATCAGCTGAAGCCATTTTGGTCCCTTCTATGAAATTCCTGTCCAAAACTTCTAGGGGAATGGAGGATTTAAATTATCTTTCAAAACTGCAACAGCATAACATTGGCTGCATTTGTCTGCATTTACTCAACCCATCAAGGTTCTATAGTCTTTCTTTTATTACGACTTCAACTTAAAACCTGTAATACATGCATGGGATGTGAAATTCTTCAAAAATTAAATGTACGGGTTCATTAATATCCGTTTTAAAACAATAAAAATAATTGAACTGGCATAAATAGAAGAAAATATTTATCAATAGTTGGGAAACATTTACAATATAAGGAATTAATAATTTCACATCTCTAAAGGATGAATGGATCTGATTTAGTAAAGAGAAACAGAAACGGATAAACTGATTAAAACGGTAAAAAATTCCTAAACTAGAACTGAAAAACTATCAACTTAACAAAAAATGATCTAGTTAGTACATAAGACATACCAAGCCAGACCAACTTGAAATAGATTCTTGTCCCAGTCACATATCTAGTTCTTTTTAATAAGCACCCAATTACCAAAAGATGTACCAATGATCTATATTTGTAGATGCCACCGAAGATATACATGTACCCTTTCCCTCGCTAGAATAAAATCTCCAAGTAATACAGAATATTAATTTAGTAGGATCAGATCAAACATGAGTTAAGCACTATTCCTAAGAAATTAGAAGCCTATAAGCTGGAAATTTAAAAAAGCACTTTACAGTGTACACAAATATAATGGTGCAGCAACTTAGATGCTGATCAAGCCACCACTTAAACACCGTTTCTTTTAGTTGTTTTAAGAGAGATACAATCGAATAAATCCAAGAATCTGCCAATCCATTTTCCATACAACATCCAATATGACCACAACAGTAGAAACAAATAAAACATGAACAATACAACAAAGAAAAAAGAATCCACCTAAGTTCCATGTTTCTAATCTAGAAAATGAACAAAAATCAAAGGGTGCTCTAGAAAAGTGGCAGGTTGCACTGTTTCTTGCTATACCTGCATTTCCATTGGAGCAAAATGAGAGTCAGCCTGCCTCGGAAAACACCCCAAACCTCCACAGAGACTAACCCCAGCAGCTAACAACAACAAAAGCTGTCACCAATCAAGCCACACCAACAAAAAAGTGATTTTTTTGGGAAATAAAAAAAATCACATAGCATTATTCATAATCTCCTGCTCCATGTTCTCTCAGATATCAAAATTAAACAGCTCAACTTTTTTTCTCAAAATAGAAATACAAGAGTCAATGCTCAAATCAGATCAACCAGTTACAAATGCCAAAAGCACGCGAAGAACTGAATCCAAAGCATGTTGTTATTGTTCCTAACACACACACGAAATTGAGAACAGTGAATACCTCTGATTTTCAGACACCCCAGTTCGGGAATTCAAGATTCAACAGTAAAGATGCGAACTTTCTCGGAAAATGAGAATTTTCCGAGAAAATCAAGGCACCCCAGATGGCGAATTGGAAGAGAGCAATGGAAGAATGCGTGAGCAGAGAAGGGGAGGAGAATGAGAGAAAGAGAGATTATAAATTATGAAAATAAAAATAAAAATTAGAAAAAAGGGGAAAAAGGAGAGAGTGACACGTCAGATTGAGAAAATATTTTTGAAAAAAATAAATGAAAAAGAAATTTCCATGGACGATTCGAGAAGGCATTAAGGTTTTGTGGCTGAAAACGGTCCGGGCCCAAAGACACGTGGCGAGTGTTTGTGATGTCTGATATTTAGTTTTTATTGGGAGAAAATAAAAATAAAAATTGGTAGAAAAAATGTAGTGCTGCAGATTTTATTGTGGAAGACATTAGTGCTCAGAAGATAATTGAGAAGATTTTTATTATAATAGGATATTTTTTTTGCTTGTTTTTTTGTGTGGCTTTTTTGACTTATTGTCATTTTTGTTTATGTTCTCATGTTCTCCCACACGCGATTCCAGTGCGTGAATCTCAGTGTTAGACCAATCCACTGTTAATAATTAAGAATTAAATGGGTTAACTAAGATATAAACAAGTTTGACTAATGGTTTTGGATACTACAATAACAAAATTCCAATTATAAAAATGACTTTTTCAACCCATTTTCTCTGGTAAATGTTATTACCAAAATGACTTTTTCAAACTAATTATTTTTTACACCAATTTTTGTTACAGTTGTAAAAATGCTTAGCAAATAAACAAACTTAATAAATATTAATTAACACAAAGCCTTTTACTGGTATATGGAGTAGTTCGTGTTGAGATTATTAAAAGAAGATAATGTTTTTAACGACACCAATTAATATTTTAACACATCAATTATTTAAATCATCAGTGTATTCGTGGTGGTCTTAACTGGTATTAATTATATTACAATTAGTTCCAATCAAAGGTAATTATATAATGTATTAAATAAAATAATATATAAAATATATTATCTTAGTCACGGACTCTGATAAAATAATAAAAGTAAAGCAGTTGAAGACATAATTCATCATTAACACTTTAAGTATCTTTGTCTTCAACATTTGGACAAAAACAGTGAATTTTCTTTTTATCTGAAACTGTGAGGCCACAGACATTGCTACAACTGCGAGATAAATTGCTGATATTTGATCAATATTTTATGTTTTGTACATAGTCTTACAAAATATGTGTTTAAATATTTTTTTAAAAATTTAAAAACTTCTATATATAGAATTAAAGATCAGTTGCGATGAGACAGCAAAACACGTAGTGGTTCAATATTACCTAATAATTTCTTATTGGAGACTGATATGATTATATTATTATTATTATTATTATTATTATTATTATTATTATTATTATTATTGATTGATTAATTGATTCATTGATTGATGAGTCTTTTTTATAATGTAATTGAAACAATTAAAATGTAATTTTTACACATAACTTGATCTGCTTGTTAGAATATGATTGTAAATTTAACTTTATTAAAGTATGTAAATGGATATGTCACAATTATCTTAATAATTGTAAGATGTGGATGGTTTCTTTTTAATTGTTTGGAATCAGAATAAAATGTTGCTTAGCTTTCTCAGTGAAATTTTAAAATATGTACACTTAGGTTATTTTATTTTATTTTTCATCTAATTGATTTAAGAGATTAGTCCTCGTAATAATTTCATTAAATATATTAAAAAAATAATAATTTTTTAATTATGACCACTTATCCAGTTACATAATTAAGACAAGAGTAAAGAAAATTATTTAATTGGAAAAAAAAAAGTGAAAAGTAAGTAAAAATTTATGACAAATTTGTATTAAATTTAATAAATTAGAAAATATCTTTAATTTTATTTCAATAAGTATGAATTAAAATTGAAATATGATTAATTATGAAGTAATTAAATTATAAAATAGAAAATAATTTATATAAGATTTAAAATTAGATATATTTAAATAAGGAAATGTATAAATCATGTAAAAGAATTCCATATACCAATTTTGAAAAAATAAAGTTTAATGGAATAGTTCTAAATTTAAAATGAATATTAGTATTG